CATTAAAAAGTGTCAATCCTTTCCGTTAGAAGACGGTAATTCAATCGATGGGATTTTCCTGTGTGGACGTTAAAATTAGACAAGATGCCACATGAATTAATTCATAAACTTGAATTCGTCAATTTTTTACTTTGAACATGCTTTAAGTACAAGTCAAGAGTTTTTCAATATTCTTCACTGTTCAGTACTTATTTTGACGAATCAACGGACTATTCAATTCACATTCTCGAGTAATCCTAGAATCAATGAGTCTTTGAATATAGAATAAAGCCCGTCTCGATTTGGGGACAGGGTTGAAGACAGGGACGCTATGTATTGGAGGGGGCACCCCTGTCCCTATCCCCAAGCCGTGACAAGGAGCAGGGCTCTTGAATATATACTTCATTTCTTATGCTTTCACTGCATTAATTAACCTTTTAATTAGTTTTGGTTAAAAATAATTAAATCTAGGAAATAGTAGTGTCCAATCATATATATTTACTTGAAATGATATCCAAAACATTATATAAGGTTTGTTCGATAGTGATTATGAAAATTGATTTTTTAATCGTCAAAGAAAAAAGTAGATCTCATTTGTGAGAGAAGAAGCCAAAAATGACGGGGAACTTAAGAAAATAACGGTTATAAAATTAATTTTTTGAGGTAAAAAATCAGAATCAACATTCACATAATCATTTACCTTTTTGATGAAATTAAGTGCATCCAAATTAGACAAAACTGATTGTCAGGCATATAAGTGAACGCCAAAAACTGCAATAACACTGTATTCATAAGGTTCATGTTCAGTGAATTTTGGCTGATTAGCAGATAGAAAATATGTATACAAAATTAAATATATTTTTAAATAAGTGATATTTACGATGCAATTATATCATTTAGATTTTAAGCTATTAAAAATGAAATATGATTATTTACTTATAATTCATTTTTTTTACGAGCTTCTTACAGGCATCTTGTGACAATAAAACGTAAGACTGAAACTTTTTAATGCTATGAATCGACGTTATAAGATGAATGTTTGTCGAAGTTTTGAGAGATATAAGTTGAACTTGATAAGACAGCTACGTTAATGGTTCCGATCCAACAAAATGACCGATCGACTGATGACCTTTTAATTTCACTCAAAAACTATACAAAATAAAAAATATAGTAATATACGGAGTTAGCTATCACCCTGCAAACGCCGTCGTTTCCATAACAGAAACACTACCTTCTTATATGGAACGAGTATTGACCAGTTCGTGAACCGGAGAAGCGGAAGGAGTGAAATAAACAGGCGAAGCACAAGGCGTTGAAAACGGCGTCGCATCAATATCTCTAACATGATCAACCTCCTCTTCCGCCTCCTCCGCTGCCGCCGCCGCCGCCACCACGACGACCACAAACTCCTCCTGTGACTCTTCAGTCAAATTAACACCCTCCTCCAAGCTGACTGTCTCGCTCTGGTTCTGATCTTTTTCTGCAAGAGGCAATTCAAAATCCTCTCTCTCCTCTTCATTGATAGTAAACAAGAACCTTGACGGTCCATGCATGCCCTGAAGTTTCAGCACATCTATATCCATCTGCGGCGGCGCGTTCGAGTTCGGACCGTCCGTATTTGAGTTGGTTTCGCGTGGTCTAATGCAGAAGAAGTAGAGGAGCTCTTTAGAGGAGGCTGTAGAAGATACAGAACAGTCTGAAGAATACTGGGATAGTTGATCTCCACCCCCACAACCTCCTTGGACGACGGTGGGATTTTGACGGCGGAAGACACGGCGGCGCCACAAGACGTAGAAGATTTCAATGAAGAGTGCCACCAGTGCGATTACAAATATTATAGTTAGTGCTGTGCCTAGTTTGCTTAGGCCGCCACGGCCACTACTCATATTTCTTGTTGTATGTGAATTACTATGAAATGGAGAATCAGATTCTGTGGTTTGTTTGACTTTGAAGTGAAGATGGAGGTTGAATACCGTTGGTGTTGGGGTTGGGGTTGGGATTGGGATAGGAAGGTGACGAGTGAGAAAAGGTGATGAGGTAGCTGGGGATAGGAAGGAAAGGTGAAGGAAAAGAAGTACCGTTGGCTTTGTAAAAGCATCGGCGGAAACTTGACTAATTAATAAAAATTTTAATAAAATTTTCACATAAATCATTTATATATATATATATATATATATAAGTGTAAAACTCGATCATATGGATGTCCAAGATGATCTCAGGATGTACACAGGGAATCGAACAATAATGTGGAGCGGTAATCATAGAGTGTGAGATTTTGTTATAGAGAATTCTCGAAGTGATTGAGTCTCTATAAGATAATGTAGACTAAACACGACGAAAATGAATTAGATCTCGAACAATGATATGGACGGAAGAGGATTGTTACACTCGTGTGGTCGTGACGATGTAGTATTTCATTCAAGCGAAAATTGTTGGAGATTTGTAAACTAAGTTTAACTATGACGATGAGTTTTTAAGTAGATTAGTCTACTCAACGTAACTTATAAAATGACCAAGACACAAATTTAAATATAGTATTCAAGCAGATGTCAAAGTTTAAAGAATTACTAACTAAAACATTATACGAAGATTAAAATATCAATAATTCAATAACATTGTCTTAATAAATTAAAAATAAAAAATAAAAAAGTGGATTATTGATTGGTGTAAAGCTATAAAGTCATGCAAGCAAGCTACATGTGAAATTTGGCCTTTGTTGGTAGTGACTATTTGCATAGTAGGTGGCTAATTAATGAAGAAAACTACGTATTAAAGCTCCAATATTTAAAACATATGACGAGGGACACTTTAAAAATTGCTCGAAAGTTAGTTACCTGCCGTTTTTAAAAAAAGTACATACTTTCATGCTTAAGGATAACGACAAGGTACGCTTGACACAATAATAGCAAACTTTGCATTTTATTTGTTTAAAATAACTTTTCGTTTTAAATTATGTCTGAATAAGTAAATTTCTTTTTTTAAAGTAAATTTTACTTTTATTATCAAAATAAGCAAACTTATTTTCATTTGGATTTTGTATAATGAACGGTGGGTAGGATGTCGTGGAAATATTGTTAGCATCATGTAAAAGTCTCATGATAGATCAATTTGTCACAGAGTTCTTCAAACGGAACAGGTTTTCTCGAATGAAAAGGGCAGTGATTACTTCTTTATATGTAGTTCCAAGACCCCGAGTACGATAGATGAGAAGGTCGGAAATGGTTGGAGACACCAAGAGAGGAGAGTTCATCGGCAAGAATATTAATTTTTAGGAGAATGGCACGAAAACCTTATTAATTTCGAAAGCTTATTCCTGAGATGAATGATATGAAGTTAAGACCTTTTGGTAAATATTTGGTTTGATGAGTCAATGCCCTGTGATGGATGGCAGCAAAAGAAATAAGGGAATAATGGCCTCAATTAACGAAACAAGAATGGCATGGAGGACTAGTTGATTTTTTTATTTTTTATTTTTATATAAATTAACAAATAGACAAAAAAATGAGTTTACTCATGAGCTCGTGCTAGTGGATGACTTGAGAAAAGTAACGTGAGCTCAACTTGATTTATGACTCATCTCAACAAATTCAAACCATTCATAGGTTGAGCCGGAATGAGCCGAGTCCCAGAATCCGCGATGACTTGACCCATTTACCACCCCTAGCTATACCCCAACCCCTTCTTCCCTTATCCTTAGAGCATCTTCAAGAAATCTCTAAAAATGAAATATTTTCTATTTTAGAGAGCAAATGTTTAAAAATAAGTTTCAAGAGAGTCTTTATTTTAACTTTTTAAAGTAAAGACTGGGTTGAAGAGTTAAACCCACTCTTTATTCTTAATTGATAATTATTGCGTATAATAAGTTACAAATTTCAATACTCTACAATTTAAATCATTCAAATCACATTTGAATTGATTGACCATTAACGTATAAGAAAACTGATTGGCTATTGACTAAATCATCTTATCCTATCTTAAAGCAACTTTCGCCCTTTTTCCGAACTATTAATCGAATCAAATTTTCTTGTAACTTTATGGATGAAGACATGATCTCTCTGAATCCGATTGGATTCATTTGGAGGAGGATTCTAATCCTATTGAGCAAACAGATTCAACATAGCTTGACTTTTTTAGAACAAGTCCAAAGTTGTTTTTCCCTACTTGCTGCGTAAAAAATTGAACATTTTTTCTCATTCTGTTTGAAGCCAAATAGAGACCGAAATGCATAAAATAAATAAGGGAAAGGTACCAAACCTTTTTCTTGGTTTAAGGGCTGCTCTCCACCGGTTTTTGGGGCTTACACTTACCTATTAGGGTTTGCAGATTACTAAATCAGTTACAGCCCGTTTTTGCTCAATGGGTTCAAT